GGGCGCGGGGCTGAGGGCTTCCCTGGGCCGGAGCTCTCGAGTCCCGTCCCTCCCCGAGCCCGGGGCGCCGCTGACCTTCATCAGCCTTGCTGGCACTCTGGGCTCTGGGTTGGAGGTTGTCTTGGTCCTGTTGCGATATCACTAGATGGCTCCTGCCTCCAACCCCGCAGCGGAGAGGCCCGCACTCTTTTGAAACGTGTGTTGAGAGTCCAAATGCCCCAGGAGGCCGCAGATAGCTCTGGCCTTACAGTGTCTGTAGACATTGACGCAGCCTGCTCTGATGGTTCAGGGACTGGAAAGCCTTGTCGCTTTACCTGCCTGCGCCGGTCTCCAGTCCTGTTTTTTGTTTGAGACGAGGTGTTATTAAATTGCCCCCAGCCCTGTATGTTTCACTTGTGTTGGGCTCAGACTCAGTTTTATCTGTCCCTTATTTAGAATTCTGCACTTCAGTATCTGAAACTGGTGGACACTACATTACTAATCGTACATAGTTTATGTAGGTACAATCTATAAAGATTTGCAAAAGTTAAATCTGGCCTGGTGGCTCAGACTTGAGCACCAGAGGCAGGAGGATCTTGAGTTGCTGGCCAACCTGGACTGAATAGCAACAACCCATCTCAGAAAAAAACATGTAAATTAATCCGTTTATTTTAATTTTTGCAGGGAGTCGTGACAGGTTCTTGCTATGCAGTACAGACTGGTAAGGCTCACTATGTGTCCCCGGCTGGCCTCAAACTCATGGTGATCCTCCTGCCTCAGCCTAACCTACTGAATGCTGGCATTAGAGGCTTGCACCACCATGCCTGGTCAAGTTATTTTTTAAAGTTTTGTTTTGGCGAAAATACTTGTCCTGTTTCATGTCAACATTTAATTTGTAAGACCTTTCAGAGTAATGGTTTAATAACAACTACTGATTTCTTTTGCTTTGTCACTGAAAAATTGAAGTTGAGATGAAATTAGAACTCTCAAACATCTAATTTAAATGACTTGCATTTACCTACAATAGCAGTTATACTTACTGTTAAACACTCTTACTCTTAAAAACAGAACAAGCTACTTTGGGATGTGAAGAGTGGAATCCTTGGGAAGGAGATGAAAAAAATGAGCACCGACAGAGAGTTAAAACTAGCCTTCAAATATTAAATAAATCCACGAAAGGAAAAGCAGACCACAGAGTACAAATCTGGGGCAAAGCTGCCATTGGTAAGATAATGTACAAAGGTGTGAAAAACACTGTAAAATGCACTTTAAAATTCATTTTAATGTAGTTTTACTTTGTCATTGTTTATCAAGGCATCATGATAGTTTTTTCCACTTTTCAGTATTTCTCCTTCCCGCCAGACAACATCTTTGTACACACACTCCATCACTGGTCTTCAGCAGAGCACACCTTCATTTGTAGATGCAGAGTAGATTGTGTAGCAACATTATGAAATGCACATGTCAACTAATTTTCATGATTTGGTCTATTTATTCGACATTTGATACACACCTGTAAGATGTGGTCCTTACCTTAATGGCCAAATACATTTGGGAAGCACTGAACAGAACAAAGTTAAATAAAGTCCTTCTGTGCAGGCCTTTCTCAGTGCTGATGTCCATAAGGGGATTTAATACATCGTTGACTAATCGTGATAGACCAGGGGAGTATTTCTGCTGACCACAGGAGTATCATGTGAGCCTACACTCGGTTAGGGAACTGGGTCCTTGGTAAAGGCTAGAAGAATTGAAAAGAATTTAGTGAAAAAGAAATAAACTCTGTAATATTGCTTTCTTTCTCTAAATCTCTTCCATATCCCCATCTGGTTTGTTATTTTACCTCTTAACAGATTTTTTTTTTGTTTCCAGATCTTCTGCTTCTCAAGCCAATAAATAAGCACAGAGTTACCAGATGAATTTTATCGAATGTTCCTTTTCAATTTTTTTCTCCAAATATAGTCAAAGGATATCAGTTATAGATATTCCTAGTCAAAAAGGAAGAAAATGGAAGTGAAAAGGAGTTTCTAGTCCAAGCAGTTTTGAAATTCAGCTTGGCAAACTCCATTAGGACTTAAGGCCTGAGAATAATCTCTGTTTTGCAACTTTGCCTTATGACCTCTCAGCTCTATGCTTAGAGTCGTCCTTTCCCTTTTGTGGAGTATAACACATGATTGTAGCTCAGTAATTTTATCAGCCTGTTTCCTGCTGGTAAAATTCTGGGAGCCCAGCAGCCTTCAGTCATTTCAACCTCTCTCTGACATTTTTAGTCAAAGTTTTCTGCTACTGTAACAGTCTCAAGAATCTGTGTCCTGTGTATTCCACAAAGATTCACTCAAGAAAACAAGAAGTTCACAGATCTTTGCTGAGACATTCCATCACTGTTTCTTGCTTCTGCTGAAATGGTTGAAAAGATCCATAAATCACACACATAGTGTCTTCCAAGAGCCCTTTATGTGAATAACTATCCTGATGTGATCCTTGTGAAATAAGCAGAAAGTTGCCTGCCACATCATTGGCCTTCCCGATATGTAAATCTATTCTTACAATCTGGATAATCCAAGAATACTCCAAATAATCAAATTCTGGGGTTATTTTTGCAGAATATTTCTTTCCTCATTCACTCTTTTCTGTTACATTTTATAATAATAAGTGATTACATAATAATAAGCAAAAAGTGTTACATTTTTAACACTTTGCTTAGAATCTCTTCAGCTAAGTATGCAAGTTTATCACTTATAAATTCTGCTTTACATATAATGCAAGCCACAATTCAACTAAGCTTTTCCTGTTATAAGGACCCTCTTTCCTGCGATTGCTAGTAATACATCGTTCATTCCTTCTGAGCCTTCACCAGCATTGCCAGCAGTCTGCTTATGACAATTTAGATATTTTCAAAGACAGTGTAGGTTTTCTTTACTGGGTTCCTCACTTTCTTCTGAGTCGTCATTAGCTGAGCCATTAATGTGTATTTCTACCTTTAAACTGTTCATTGCAGTCTAATCTAGGAGTTTTTAAATGTTCTTCAAAATTCTCTCAGCCTCTCCTCATTTCTCAATTCCAAACCACTTCCGCATTTTAAAGTATTTGTTACAGTAGCATCTCACTTCCAGGCACCATACATAATCTATCTACATAATTTTTAGTTTCCTGTAGCTGCAGAAAAAAATGACCACGCTACTATCCTGCTTCTAAAGACCAAAGTCTAAAGTGTCCCTGAAGCTATGTTTTGGAGGCTCTATAGCAGAATCTGTTTTCTCAAATTTTACAGTTTCCAGACACTACACACTTTGATTGATTTTTGGCCTGGCATAACTCTGACCACTGTTTTGGTCTTGGCATCTTCCCTCACTCTGACCTTCCTACCCTCCTTCTTGTAAGGATCCTGGTGCAAATATAGAATCTCCCAGGTAATCCACAATAATCTCTCCACCTCAGCATCTTTAACTTAGTCATATTAAGTTAAAGTTAAGTATATTTTGCCATATAAGATAACATATTCACAGATTAGAGAGTAGGACATGGATATCTTTGAGGGGAAGCATTATTCAGTTTACCACATTTGGAAAGACTTATCTGATTGGCCAAGTTTTTATATGTGTTTTTTTTTGTGTGAGACAGGGTCTCACTATGTAGTTGAGACTGACTTGGAACTCACTGTGTAGCCCAGGCTGGTCTTGAACTCACAGCGATCCTCCTGCTTCACCCTCCTGTGTGCTGGGATTACAGTTGTGGGCCACCACGCCCAGTTTATCTTCTATTCTTAAAGCTTTCATTCAAATGAAATTATGATAAAATTTTAAGGACTGCCCTGTGAAGAAAAGATGAAGTAGCATTTGTTTGCAAAGGGCAACATACAGTGAGGGAAGTGGGTTCTAGGCGAGGAGGTATTATCTCCTGGACTTTGAATGCTTATCTCTCAGCTTCTCTGGTTGTGTTAGGCCCAATTTTAATTCCTCTATTTTGTTATTTTAAAATTTTAATTATATAGGGTTTTTTTGTAATGTAATATATTGGAAATATGAAATTTTGGGTGTTTTTTTATAAAATTTTTTTTGGCTTTTTAATTTTATCTGTGACTGTGTAATTGTTTAGTATTTCCAAGTATTTTTATTTCAGAATAAAAATGGTAATAAGAGTTCAGTGATATTAGGGGGATTCTCAAATCTAGAAAAAGGGAGGTATTGTCTTTAATATAATCCACAGTTAGCCACATTTTACACTGACAACCCCTGAATTTTCTGTCCTACATTAGCCATCATATTGCTGATTTTAAGCATTTGCTTGGTAGCACTGCCTGCCAGTTGACTGAAGGTTGAACATTCTGGTTTCACGTTTAAATATATGAAAAACCAGAACATAAGCTCCTCTCACACAGTCGGGTATACAAAAGAGTAAATGTTTTATGTTTTATGTCTTTGTTTTTTGATCACCAGGTTTGTATCTCTGGGAGCATATTTTTGAAGGCTTACTTGATTCCACTGATGTGACTGCTCAGTGGAGAGAAGGAAAGTCAGTTGTAGGAAGAACACATTACAGGTATTATTTGTACAACAGTAAACTTTGTTGTGTTGCTGTATTTTGCATAAACACTATAAGAAAATATGTTTTTATAAAACATTTCGATTTTAGCTAATGAAAATAGAGAAATAAATCTTGTCAATGTATATTCATAGTTAAAGGTTACTTGACCAATTTCTAATGAAATTGTGTATTACAAAATGCTTCTCTTTTTGTCTCTTTTATTTTTATTTGACTCTATGGAAAGTTCATGCTCCATATTTTGTAACATTTGATTGGTAAGGTGCATTTAACATTTCATACTTCAGGGATAATACATAAACCTAAAAGTGTTACTTATAATAGTCACGTTCACTTTTTATAATACTCAGGTGGTATCAAAGCTGTTGCTATCACTGTTGAAATTTTTATTTGCTAAAACATACATATGAGTTCTCTCATGATTTAATAAAATTGAGCACAGTTTTTCTGCAGTACTTAGAAATCTTTTTTTTTTAAGATTCAGTAAAAACCAATGTTTTACAAAGACTTTTGGGGCTTTTGTTTTTATAAAATTTTTATCTGTAACTGTCTAATTGTTTAGTATTTCCAAGTATAATTAATATCATTTAGAAAAGTTATGATAATTTCATCATACAGAATGTTTTATTAGTTTGGTTTCTTATTGAAATAATTATTTTTAAAATGCTTATTTCATGTAAAAATTACATTATTTGGGGAAATATATGAACCAAAGTTCTAGGATTCCAGTTCTCTATCACTGAACTCTAGAGAGAATAAGCTATGATTTCATTTGAATTTCGACTTGCTCTTAATTTACTTTATTCATACTTGAAAATCAGTTTTGTTGTGTATATCATCTCAAAGAAATCATACTTGAAAAATAAGTAGGTTTTAAAATCATCATTAGTAATGATGATTTTTCCTTTCGTTTTCAGGCTTCTGTAGTTCTATTTCAGATCTGATACATAGTTCTAAATTTTTGGTACTTGGATTTCAGTGTTTGAAAGTAAATGTGTACTGTGTCTAAAACTCCCATTTTGAATTTGAAAAGCAAATTCAATATGCATTGTGTACATAACTCGGTGGCAGAGCCAGTTTGGCTGGCACATGCGCATCTCTGAGTTCTCATCCTACCACTGCCCTGAAAAACAAAATATGTGTTATGGATATTAGTCTAACAGTTCTATCCATAATATGTAGCATTTTCAGAAAAATTATTGAAAATTCATAAAGAAATTAGTAACTTTTAGCTCAAAATTATATAGTACTACTACAATGATATCAAAAGATTTGAACAAACAGCATTAACTCCCAAAAGCAAGCCTAACGTGCCCTTCCCTTTTGAAATTTTGTTTTTCTGGTACTGGGAATCGAACTCAGGACTATGCACTTATGAGGCAGGTGGCGGAACCACTGAGCTAAATCCCTGGCCCCCCCTTTTGAAATTGTTGGGCAGGATTTTATATTATGATCAAAAAGCAATGCTATTTCCCCTTAGGATTTAAAAGATCTGTGTATTCAAGGAAGTTCACTATTGTAACAATTTTTTGAAAGCAGATTATTAAACTTTTAAGTTTATGAAAACTTAGTGTGCATAATATACTTGTCCAAAACTAATAAACCTCTAGGGAATTCCAAGTTTTTATTTGAATCAGTTTATATGGGTACTAATTTAAATGCTTCAATTTAAATCTGTTATCCTGCCAGGCGTGGTGGCACACCCCTGTAATCCCAGTACTCAGGAGGCTGAGGCAGGAGGATCATTGTGAGTTCAAGACCAGCCAGGACTACATAGTGAGTTTCAGATCAGTCTCAACTACATAGTGAGACCCTGTCTCAAAAAAACAAAAAAATAAAAATAAATAAATTTACAAACTATATATTATATAATTTTAGCCTCATCATAATTTTAGGGGACTAGTGTGAAATATATTATCAGTGTACCAGGATTCAACAGTTTCAGGAATGCTAATTCTAATCAATTCATAGGTCCAAAGAATATAATCCAGAAGACAAGTGAATAACTGAGGATGGATATAGAACTGTCCATCAAGCATCTGCTGGTATTGGCTTCACCAACACATTTCTTTCCATACAAGTCATACCTTCCGTATTTGATTCTATATGCTGTGAAAGCATGGGACATAATTATATGTAGTGCCTCCAAATCCAGTTGTTTCAAAACGTAAGAAATAGTTGTCCACACTCACCACTGAGTCAGCAATAGCATATGTAATTTGAATTCAGGATCTGAACACATGCAAGGCAAACTGAACTGATCAGCCTGATGAAGCCCTGTCACCTCTAGGCATTATAGCAGTGTGACTAATTATTAACAGCAGAGGCAGATTATTCCAGCTCTGCCACTTAGCTGTCTGACCTCAGTTTGTTAACCTCTCTGTGCCAAGGTTTCCTTAAGGTTAAAATAAGGCTAATAATGATTCCTATTTCACAAGATAGTTTTAAAGATTATATGCATTAATAGATGCACAGTACTTAGAACAGTCGGTCTGGACTTGATGCCAGCACTTTCAGACCCACGCCTCTATGAAAACTACGCATGACTGTCCTGGCTTCTCACCAAGGAGAGCAACACTCCATTGTCCTTCCCAGACTGCATTTAAACTTCTCAGTGGGTCTGTTCTCAGCCCATGCCCTCTCCATGGCAGTCTCTTATAGACATCTCCCATCCTGCCACTGGTGTCACTGGTGGTGAACCCATGGCACGCGTGCCTCATGGGGCACACAGAGCCCGCTCTGATTATGTCATGAGTTGTGTGAGTTGGTTTTTCTAAACTAAAACCTCAGTATTCAGGTTCAATTGCAGCCTTGGCACTTTGCAATAAGTGGGTTTTGGGTGACAGTTTGAACCCCCGGTCTCTGAAAGGTTCACCATCACTGGTGTAGAGTCATGGCAGTAACACTGACCATGATGGCCAGGTGAATCATAGCACCTACTCAACTGCAGCTGTAAGGGCTGCTGTCAGATGTATGTGTACTGTTTTATGAAACTGAACTTTCTCAATGTATTAAGCAAAAAAAAAAAAAAAGTATCAAATTCAATGGCTAACAATCATATGACTGCCTACATTGTGCACCTGTCATTCAAAACATTTCTCAGAGTATTTGGTACTTTCACATCAGTAACTAAGTATAATAACAGAACATGCAGTATTTGTTCAGTAGCACTTGCTGAATTTAAAAAGAATGGAAAAATTGTGCTGAATTCTAAAAATACATTGTTTTCACAGGGAGCTTTGGAACTAAATATGTGAATGATTTCTCTGGGCTTTCTAAATATTGCAAATATTGGGAGGAAATTTTTTAACTGAGCTAATTGAAAATTACAAGTTATCAATAAATGTATATTAGAAATCTAGAAAAGCAAGTCATTTTTAAAATTCTGTACATGAGCTCTTTAAATGTTTATTCTTTAATGCAGTTAATGGTGATGCTTAAATAATAGCCTTAGTATTTAAGTATACTTAGTAAACTAAATAGTTCACTAATAAACTTAGTAAACTAAAGTGTAGCTCTTGTCATATTTAAATATACTATAATATCTCATAATCTACACTTTAATGTGTAGCAAGAAAGTTTCTAGGAGCCGGGATTTAGCTCAGTGGTTTTGCCTGCCTGCCTTGCAAGTTCAACCGCCGGTACAAAAAGAAAAAGTTTCTACTAAAGTGAATTTTTATAAATTGATTCATATTTTAAATGCAGTACAACTTAAATTCATAGAGCAAATAATTCCCTAAAGAAAACTGCTATTTGAATATATATTCAGTATTTACTGCCTACTAAAGTTAATACTAAAAAATATAAATAAATAAGTTAATAGTTCTAAAGATTTCAAAACGAATGAAATGCATTCTTCTAACATCATGGAATGTACTGACTATTAGAGTTTGAAACAAACACAAATTGTAATACCATATAGAAAACGTGAGGTTGTGTGGCTGGGAATTTAGCTCAGTGGTTCTGGCACCTGCCTTGCAAACACAAGGACCAGAGTTCAATCCTCGGTATCAAAAGAAAATGTGAGGTTGTTATGTATATTTCATTGTGATAGTTTTTAGGGAACAGAAGAGAAGCATTTAACTCAAGCCATATGTTGGGATTGTGGGACCTCCAGAGAACAGTTCCATAGAGGAGGAAACAGCTGCTGAGTCTTTAAAATGGAGAGGAGTTAGCAAGGCAAAGGGAGAAGGAATTATATTCACCTAGTAGAGGTGACCTCAGAGGTCCAGAACTGGTAAACCTTTGCATGAAATTGCAAGCCATTCAATATCCTAGAGCACAGAGAAAAGGAAGGGACCAGGCAAGGTCCAGGTCACAGTGGACCTTATGTGTGCCATGCTAAGGCTCTCGAACTTTATGGTTGCTGGTAAAAAGCGACTGAAGTTGATTATTCTTTTTGCCGGGGCCAGGGGCAGGAAGTACTGGAGATCACACTCCAGACCTTGCGCTTCGGAGCAGGAGGTGGCACCACTGAGCTAAATTCCCGGCCCTGGGGGTGATTAAGTGGGAGAGTTATTCTTCTGCATATGTGTATATTTCTCTGACAGCCATGTGGAAAATGATTTGAAGGAGGCACTTGAGTATAAGAAAAGCAGATGGAAGTATGTCCACTACTCCACACCTTCCCAACCCCCCCTTTCTCAGCAAACAGCCATGCCTCCTGTTTGATCAGGAAAGTTGATCCCTCATCTCCTTAACTAGCTGCTCTAACGTTTAGCTACTCTGACCCCGCACTCAAACTGTACAGTTAATGCTGTACAAAATATTTTTGTCTTTTGGTTTTTTTCCTATATAAATATAATATATTTCTAGATATTGAAGGAGTGTAATTAAAAGGCCTAAGATATTCTGAATTTTTAAAAAATTTATGATATAGAAAAATATAGTTAAGTTTTCTGACTGAATTATAAAATTTCGATGTTTTTAACTGACAAGATTTTATTTAAAATTTCAGTATTCAAACTTTACAGGAACATTTGTTATTAAAATTAGAGTTTTTTTAAAAGCTAGGTGTATAATTAAGACAAATAAGTGGATATGATAACTTGGAATATTCAAAACATGTAGATTTTTAATCACTGTAGTTCATTTTTCTCAAAATTCCAGAACTTAAGGTTCTACAGTTAGCATTTTGTCATATCCACTTGTAGTCTCCTTTTGATATAATTAAATTATACTGTAATAAACATGTGCAAAAAATGATACTGTAATACAATTCTGTTTCTTGCTTTTTACAGACTAATAGCTAACATTTATCAAGGGGTGACTCTGTGCCAGATGTTGAATTTAAGTGTTTTGTAAGTGCTTGGATTATAGGCACAGGCTACCATATCCAGCATCTTTCAAATTTTTATATTTATGCTGATACTAGATATATAAATACTTCTTATGTACTTTTCAAATTTATAAAATTATATTGTAGAAGTGTTATGAAGCTTGCTTTCTTCCATTATATTTTTAGACCTAGCTTTCATGGAATATTTAAATGAAGTTAAAGAAACAAAAACGTTCTCACATTCTGATTACCATATGGAAGTTGATCTGTCTCCAGCCATAGCTTCCATTAATTTACAGCCATGTTTCATCATCCAAACTTGTTCCAAAGAACTTGTGTTACAGAAATTTCATTTCTAGAGAGAATATGCATTAAATCTCAGTGTAGATTTCTAAGTAAAATGACTAACAACTTATGATGCCAGATACCTTTGTTTTATTTTGATTGTCTTACTTGTGATTTGTCATTTTCAACAGTTTCATCACTGGCCCTGCTATAGTCCCGGGGTACTTCTCTGCTAATGTGAATAATGTGGTCCTGGTTTTAAATGGAAGAGAGAAAGCAAAGGTCTTCTATGCCACCCAGTGGTTACTTTACACGAAGAATTTAGTACAGTCTCAAAAACTCCAGCACGTTGCTGTTGTTCTGCTGGGAAATGAACACTGCAATAATGACTGGATGGCCCAGTTCCTCAGCAGCAATGGTGGCTTTGTGGAGCTGCTGTTCATCATATATGACAGCCCCTGGATTAACGACGTGGATGTGTTTCAATGGCCTCTAGGAGTAGCAACGTAAGTATGAAATATGTTTGAAATACATTTCAAGGTTTCTAGACTCTTGAGACGTGAATTTCTCAATCAGGAACATTGTGTTTTACATTGTAATAAACGTAGTTTTTCTGGGATCAATGAGCCAAATTGCCAAAGACAGTCTTTTATAAAGGTAAGAATAGAGGATTGTCTCATGCTTCCATGACAATATTTTTAGAGTATTTTATCCTTTTATAGGAGAACAGATGAGTTACTTATTGTGTTTTAAAACCCCAAGGAATACCCTAAAATGTTTAGCAAAGAATTAATAGTGATAGTATATAGCAGATTAGAATTCCTGCTAGTGCAGTGTTATTATATCAACAGGATACTATGCCCTTGGATTTGGAATGACTGGATTTGTACATATCCCTTCTATAAAAGGTTACTTAAATTATAACTAAGGTTATCTCAATAATTTCCCTAGCTATGAAATGGAAAACATGCCAGGCATGGTAACACAAGTGCCGTACAAGGCGTTTGTTTGAACAGGGTATCTCTAAGAGTTTGGGTTGGCCTTGAACTCACTATAGCACTGTAGCCCAGGCTGGCCTCAAGCTCATAGTAATCCTCCTGCCTTAGCCTCTCAAGTGCTTGAATTATAGGTTTGTGTCACCACACCTGGCTGGGTTTTGTTAATTTGTTTTAATCTATTTGAAAAGCTCTTAGAAATATTTTTCAGAGCTCTTTCCTATAGCAATATTATTCTATAATCTTTCTCTTTCCTTTTTTAAATAGACAAAACATGATTATATATATGTCTGTGGTGTATAATGTACATCTTGGTGTGAGTGTACAATGTGGAATATTTAAATCCAGCAATTCACATACTTACTTTCTTTTGTAATAAATATTTTTAAATTTTTTTCCAATTTTGAAGTATTGAATGCATAGTAACAATTCTTTATGATACATTGATAAAGCTTATTCCTCCTAAATGAAACTTTTTATCCTTTGATCAAAATCTCCCTTCCCCAAAATACACCGTCATCTTCCTATCACCTGGCTAACACATTGATTAAATTATCATCATTGTGAAAGTATTTTATATTTTGAAAGTCTTGAATTCAACATACCTAACAACCGCACATGAAAAATACAATGAATGTTTAATTTTTTTTAATTACTACCGTAAAAGACACCTTGCCATTAACTTCACTCAAAACACTCCCATCGCTTCAAACATTCTTGTCCCATCATCACTGCCACTATCTGAAGCATCTCCGGAAGTCCGCTTTCATGAGTGTTTTTAGTTGCACCGTGGTAGCTGCGTCAATGTCCAGAGTCAATTCAAAGCATTGACCTTTCGTGATCATTTTGACTTTGAGGAAGAGTCAGAAGTCACACAGTACCAGATCTAGTGAAGAAGGTGGAGGACACACAGTAATGTTTTTACGAGCCTGCCTTTCTGTCGGATGGCACTCCGCAGCATCATTCATTGTATTTTTATCACATCTTATAAAGATACCAAAAAAGGAGTTGCTTCAAAAAGAGGCAAGAACAATGCAATAAAAGTATTTCAAGCAGTGGGAAGTACAGTATTTTGAGTGGTGTGTGAGTTACTTTTCTTGTTGCTGAGAAAAAAACTGACACCCAAAGTTAAAGAGGGAAAGGTTTATTTGGCTTACAGTTCATTTCAGTCAATAATCGGCTGAAGGAAGGGTGGCACATGGCAGGGGGCAATCATGGTGGGCAGAAGATAGCTAAAGCTTTTATCCGGCCTGCTGGGATTAGGGTGGTGCCAAACCAATCAGTGGACTGATTTAGTAATCACACGCCCTTATTCCCAGCATCACACACTCTAGATTCAGACACCTCTGAAAAAGCCACTTACGACTGCATGAGGCTTTGGAAGGACCTAGACCCAAACCATAACAAGTGAGATTAATGGCAATGTGTCTTTTACTGTAATACAATTTTTTAAATTATATGTTCGCCTTATATTTTGGTTGCACCTTGTAGACATTAAAGAATGCCAAAAACAGGGCTTTAGGCCCAAAGTCTTTATGACATTTTTATAAAGAGATACCAATGGTAAAAAAGTTTTGAATCAGTAAATTCAGGGATTTTTGCGGAATAAGGTACTTTTCCAAAGAAAGTCACAACCTAAAATTTAGAAATGTTTTAAGTCTGCTCCATACACATAGTGCTACTTAAGAAGTTGTGTTATGAAGGTTTTTGCCAATCCTGTATCATATGTTAACTCATGTGCTTGTTTTTATAGGTATAGGAATTTTCCTGTGGTGGAAGCAAGTTGGTCAATGGTGTATAATGAGAGGCCGTACTTATGTAATTTCTTAGGAACTGTGTATAAAAACTCATCTAGACAGGCACTAATGAACATTTTGAAAGAAGACGGGTACGATAAGCTTTGTTGGATTTCAGCAAGAGAAGAGTAAGTTGTATATTTGTTTGACTCATCTATTTTGTTCTTCATTCTGAGAATAGCTTTATATGCAAGCACAGAGATTTCAGAGGCAACGTTAACTCCATTTATACCACTCTTTCCCCAGAAGATACACTGCTACCTAAAGCTGTTCAGAGACCTCGACTATATACATTTACAACAGAGAAACCCTCCTATGCCTATAGTTCCTATTAAGGAACACCAGTAACTGTCATTTGCAAGTGTCATGTTAGAGTTCTCTCAATAATATTTCTTGATCAGACGTGGCAACAGGAGACTGTCAGTGCCAGTAAGGTCTTCGGTTCCTCCCTGTTCAGGAGGACAGGTCAATCTGCCAGGACTCACCTGCGATGCTCCTAATATATCCAAGGAAACTGACACCATCCTGAGGACAAGGACCATGTATTCTCCAAGTCCTCAGATCTAACATATTTAACATAGGACCTTGTACATGGTAGGACTGGGATAAACTGAGTGGATGGATGGAATGATGGGTAATCCTAATAGGATTAACTTTTTTCCATCTTTTACCTAATAATCAGGAGATAGGTGTTTATGGAATGGAGGAAGTAATCTTATATTGGTTTTTTTGTTTGTTTGTTTGTTTGTTTTGTTTTTTGAGATAGGGTCTCACTATGTAGTTGAGACTGACCTGGTATTCACTATGTAGCCCAGGCTGGTCTCTAAACTCATAGCCATCCTCCTGCCTCAGCCTCCCAAGTGCTGGGATTACAGGCATGCGCCACCACGCCTGGCCAATCTTACATTGTTTTTAAGTAAACAAGTGAAATTTAAATCTCAGATATAAAGCAGAGTCATCAGAGAAGTAATGCAGTAAAAATATCCTTCTAGATATAGGATGGGGGGGTACTTTACTGGGGACTGAACCTGGGGCCTTTGCATTGAGCTGTATCCCAGCTCATTCCATTTTTTATATTGAGACAGAGTCTTGCTAAGTTGCCCAGGCTAGGCTCAAACTTATAATTTCCTGCTTTAGTCTCCTAGAATGCTAGGGTTGCAGGCATGGGCCATCACACCCAGCTTTTTTTTTTTAAATCATAGAAGATACTCTTCTGTGTGTAATTCCTTACTCTGTTGTTACGTACCCATTTATTTTCATCCAACATTTATTGAGCAACTGTGAACCAAAGTCCTTGCCCTACTGGCACTTAAGTGCTTATTGAAGGAGACAAACATGTGAGATGTGTCAGAAAGTGGTACATGCCATGAAAAAGAAATTAAGCAGAAGGAGGGCATAGCGGGGAATGGGGGTTGAGGACAGAACATTTGTAGCTTTCAAATACAAAACTACAATACTAGTTAGAAGATTACAGTTCGGCATAGTGCTGGAGCAAGGGTGAGCCTTGTGTTTATTAGGGAGAAAGGTGTTCCCAGCAGAGGAAAGAGCAAATGCAAAGGCCCTGGGGCAGGAGTGTGCTTACCACATCAGGGGCCAGTGTGTCTGTGGTGGAATGAATGAGCCAGTGCATAAAGGAACACTCTTATTCTTACAACTCCCTCATTCCGTTGAGCCTGAGATAAAGTGGGCATCTTCCTTCTTATTGCTCTTCCAAACCATTCTCTCCTTTCCCTCCCTATTTCCCCCAATTTTGAGTCTCATGCCAGCAGGCAAAACTGCTATTTTATTCTCTGAAATCATAGATTGAGCTTGGACTTATCCCCCTAATTCCTTGAACAATACAACTCCTGTTACACTCTCACTCTCATACCAGCTTGGTCTTCATTCTTGGTGACTGCCAAATCGAGCTATGGTCCTCCCGTCACCTTGGCCTTTTCATTTCAAACCTGAACTGCCCAGTAGTCATAACTCCCCTTGTCCATGTCTTCTCTCACACTTCTGGAAGACTGTGTCATTCCTTTTCTCTCCTAAACTCTTAACACTTCCTCCCCTAGCCTCCCTTACTTTATGACCTATTGCTTATCTCACTGAGAAAACCAAAATAGAGGAAAGAATCTGTCTTCTAACTAATCTATCAGCTTCTACCCTTGTCCCTGTATACTCCATTCTCAACACCACAGCCCAATTGAATTTGATGAAACCTAGGTCATGCCACCCTTTCATCAGAATCCCTTATCTCTCACCTCAGACCTTGTATTTTACCTGTCCCACTTGGCTGCTTCAGCTCCCCTGGCCTCCCTTCTGTTCTTTGAACGCTCCTGCTCTTTACTTGGTCTCCCCTGGATCTGTATGGCCTGTTCCTTCAGCTCCAAATCTGCCACGGACCACTGAGAGAAACATTCCCTGATCCTATTTCAAATCACAGCCCTGCTGCCTCTGAAATTCTCTTCCCCTTTCCCTTTTATTTTTTTCTGCACAGTATTTAACTCCTTTAGAAAACTTACTAATTTGATTAGAACTAGAGTACAAGTTCCATACAGGAAGAGAAGACCAGACATTGAGAAAATAGGTGTTGAATTAAAATTAATTTAGAAATTTAAAGGGTGTCACCATAGTTTTTTAAATTTGCAGCTGTAAAAATGTTCAAGTGTTTAATTTTTTTTTTTTTTTTTTGTAACCAGGGATCGAACTCAGGGCCATGTGCTTGTGAAGCAGGCACGGTGCCATTGAGCTAAATCCCTGGCCCTCAAATTTTTAAATATTTTTAAGAAATCTACTTAGCTATCCTCTCTATGTTTTTGCCATTTCCTTTAACTAACATTAAAAGATAAAATGTGTCTTTTCACAAGAGATATGCTTAGTAAAGTAAAATCTGCAGTTGTTTTCTCTCATTCCAGGTGGCAGCCTCAGGAAACCAACGAAAGTCTTAAGAATTACCAAGATGCTTTGCTTCAGAGCGACCTCACGCTGTGCCCGGCCGGAGTCAACACAGAGTGCTACAGGATCTACGAGGCCTGCTCCTACGGCTCCGTTCCCGTGGTGGAAGACGTCATGACGGCTGGCAGATGTGGAAACACCTCTGCTCACCACCGCGCTCCTCTGCACCTGCTCAAGACCATGGGCGCTCCCTTTATCTTTATTAAGAACTGGAAGGAACTTCCTGCTATTTTAGAAAAAGAGAAAACTATAAATGCACAAGAAAAGATTCAAAGAAGAAAAATGTTACTTCAGTGGTATCAACACTTCAAAACAGAACTAAAAATGAAATTTACTAATATTTTAGAAAGTTCATTTTTAATGACTAATAAAGGCTGACTTAATCATGTTTTGAGATAGATGTTATATTTTTAAAATAATATAAAGTGAGGCTGGGCATGGTGGTGCATGCCTGTAATCCCAGCACTTGGAAGGCTGAGGCAGGAGGATCACTGAGTTCGAGACCATCCTGGACTACATAGTGAGTTCCAGGTCAGTCTCAACTACACAGTGAGACCCTGTCTCAAAAAACCAAAAAAATATATATAATAATAATAATATAAAGCATGTGAATACGTGTGTGAGTGTCTGTATGTTTATACCCTGGGAAATGCTATGTTATGTAGGTAACATTGACTGAGTGCTGCCCTTATTGTATTGTAGCAAATGTAACTCACAGTGTTGCACCTTTAGGTGGTGTAACAGTCAGGCAGAGAAGAACCAAGCACACACCCTGGAGGTTGGAAGCAGGTTTATTTCGCTAGCACTTTGATGGGGATTTCACCACAAAGCAATCAGCCTTGTTTGGGGGATGAACAGGGTTTATATAGATTTGGGAAAGGAGGGGTGAGGATACAGTAAGACTCTTAGCATTAGTTCATTGGTTGAGGTAGATACACTTAGCTAATAATTGGATAGAAAGGTACACTAGGATTCAGCTTATTTACATATGGCGGGAAGCAGAGATCACAGAAACCCTGCTGAGAACAAAAGACGGGAGGAAAACATGTCTGGCAAGTCTGAGACGTGGATGGACATGTTTTAGGTGTGGGAGGGATTAGAGCTGAGGGGAGCTGTTTGTTTGCTACCCAGTCAGCTGCAGCACAGGCTCCTGGTCAGAAATCATTTCCCTGTTCAATTGGGCCACTCCTGTGTACAAACTAAAAATGAGGATAGAGTATTGCTAAAATTAATTTCTACAAAGTTGAGTGATTTATCAATTTCTCTCACCCATTTAAACCTTCCCTGTGGAATGGTGGCTACCAGGGGCTGGAGGACTTGGATGGATAGCTTTAAGGATCAGTGCTGTCAAAACAATTCCAGTTAGGAGGAATAAGTTAATAAACTCTTGTACAACATGATGACTTTTAATGACAATATAGCCTTAAAATGCCAAGAATGGATATTATGATAACTTCTCATGTATAGTAGTATATTGTCATGTATAGTAGATTGGTCTGTCTACCACCAGGCATGGTGGTGCACATCTGAAATCCCAGCTGTACAGAAGGCTGAGGCAGAAGGTGATAAAAGGCGAAGAGATGTAACTCCCAAATCTACTAGATATCTGACACTTGAGTTCATGTGCTCTAAAATCAATGAATGAAATCTAGGAACAGTGGAGGTTAAGAGTAGGAAAATGTATTGAGAGAAAGCTCTGTCTGAGAGAGACTGGAAAGTGGGTTGCCCACCTGCCCCGCTTTTCAAAGATATTTTATTCAGCAAAGCCAGGTGGTGAGGCGGGTACAAAGTGGAACAAAACTGTAACACCCAATGGAAATTCACGAGATGGGACAAAACCATGACCAACCAGGGAAATTACAAGTACAGTCATCCAGGTAATATTGATTACATGGTCAAATGGGAAAAGAAATCACATACAACGAATTTCCCATGTAGAATATCAATTACTACTATGTATTTCTAGGGGAAGTAGTGCCTATTCCTTTTTATAATGTTAACCAGGGAATGTGCCTCAATTCTCCACGTTGGCTCCTTGCTGCATTGGCTCCTGGAGGTCTGGCACCTTGAGGACTGGGGCCTTGAGGGCTGGTGCCTTGAGGAAGGCCCTGTCTAACTGCCTAAAAGATATGTACGTAAATCTACAAAAATAGCAAGTTCCAGGCCAATTTAGTGAGATCTTACCTCAGGAGGGTTAGGAATATAGCTTAGTGACAGACCACTTGCCTAGCATGCAGGAGTTCCATTCCCAATGCAGAAAAAAAAATCACAATAAATACTTTCCCTGCCAATTTAAAAAATAGTCATATAATCCTATTCAGGGGAAGCACAGTTATGTAGTCAAAGCACTGCACTTTCAGACCCAGCTACCACTCAATAATCCACACAACCCACCTGGCTTTTTGTCACAGATTGATAGTAAAAATATAGCCTCTCCGGTACCTGGAAATGAGACACCTGAAAAGCAATTTAGTGAAGAAAAAAAAGAAGTAGAGTTCTGGAAATCAAGAAAGTGTTGACAGGAAAATTAGAAACTACGGAGAAACTGGAAACAGGCAATTTGGGCTCTCAAGTCATGAAAATAAAGATATTAGAATTATGGCTGGAGGTACATCTGAAGAAGATGAGGCCTCAAGATAAAGTCACAGTGACCAGACTCACATACTGCCTCAGGGAAAAGCAGAACTTGAGACTACACTGTAATTAGTACTAACCAGTCCCAGGTGGGTGACCAGAACACCTGTACCCATCCCTTCCCAAATGTTCCTGTTTCAGAATTCATAGGTAAGCCAAGGTTAACAATGTCAGCCAAAGGCCGGGCATGGTGGCACATGCCTGTAATCCCAGCACTTGGGAGGCTGAGGCAGGAGGATCACTGTGTGTTCCAAGACCAGCCTGGGCTACACAGCAAGTTCCAGGTCAGTCTCAACTACATAGTGAGACCCAGTCTCCAAAAAAACAACAACAAAAAAAACACACCCAACAATGTCAGCCATGTCCCCACTTTTCTATTGGATCAGTATTAGATAAGTGGCTATACCTGTAATCCTGTAAATTGATTATAATTTGACCCACATTGTACCTGAAAGAAACTGAACGAAAACAGGAGCACCCAAGACAAGGCTTGATTGGGGAAAGAGCTGCCAGCTGTCTCAAACAAAGGTGGAGAGAGAGAGGAGAGACAGAAGCGGGGGAGGCACTAAGTGCTTGAGGTTTATGAAGGGTTGTGTGGCAGGAGAACATCATGGGGGTGGAGGATTCATTATATTGCTGGGGAGGGTGGCGGAAGTTTAAACTTACGGGCAAATAAGGATGGGGTGAGTAGCAAGGTGGAGTGGAGAGTTCAGTTTCGCCATTTTGTCTAACAACACCCACCGTGTGACTGCTGTATAGATTACTCCTGAGAAAGGGCCTCCGCAGCAACCCACTTGGGATCCCTCCTCTCTCTCAGGAACTGTTCCTATTCCCCAATAAACCCTTCCTACTCTTCCTTTGTCCTCCAGAATTCATACTTTGATTTCAGAGGACATGAGCTCTGCGCATGTGACATCTAGCAGGTTGGGAGTTCTACCTCTCCTATATCACTGTCACTCCCAAGTATGGCAGATACTGAAATGGATTTCCTCTCCAACCCTAGCCTGCCACATGCGAGAAATCACTTTCAGAGTCAAACTCTGCACTGCACTTGCAGTGTACAATAACTGTGGCCTTCAGGGGAGCAGCCCTACTGGCCCCTTGTTTCTCCCTGGGACTGCCAACCCTCTCTGGGCTTGCAGAGACAAGACCTCCTCCCCAGGAGCCCAGATTAGCATTCCTAACAGCTTTATTTTGTTCTTTGCCTTGTTTTCAGTTTCTCTTGTAGTCTCTAATTTTCCTGTCAACACTTTCTTGATTCCCAGACCTCTACTTCTTTTTTTCTTCTCTAAATTGCTTTTCAGGCATCTCAATTCCAGGTTCTGGAGAGGCTATATTTTTGTTACCAGTCTTTACCCTGCCAATTTTTTTTTCAAATATTTTAGAGTTATGTGTTAGAGCACTCAAGGTTGTTCTGGATCTAGCTAGGACAAGTGTTTGGTTGCAGAATTGGATAACTTCACATAAAACAAGGACTGAAACAGCTGGAGCCAGATTAATACCTCAAGTCAACAGAAATGGCCATGAGGCCAGGCTTGGTGGTGCATGCCTGTAATCCCAGCACTCAGGAGGCTGAGGCAGGAGGATCACTGGGAGTTCGAGACCAGCCTGGGCTACATAGTGAGTTCTAGGTCAGTCTCGACTACATAGTGAGACCCTGTCTCAAAAAAAAAAAAAAAAAAAAAACCAGAAATAGCCATGAAAGTGTGGACTAAGACTTTAGCCAACTCAAATGAGAAATTTTCAAGCAAAATCTTTCACATATCTCTGGGAAGGGAACAAAGTGGTTTTATGAAAGCTTCAGTGTGTGATCTTTTATCTTCAGCTTCCTTGGGCTCAATCGGTTGTTTTACCTGGCTTATTACATATTATCTCAACTGGGAATCCTTAACCGAAGAATCCTCAAGGCTATTCTATAGCTTAACTTCTATGGAGTCAGGGAATGTAACATCACTGTTTTCTTTTTCTTGTCTTCCCGTTGATAGGAATGCTCACAGATATTCCTCCACACTTTCTTAGACCTTCAGTTTCCAGAAGTGCATCCCCTTTATCAGAAGGTTTGGCAGCCTGAATGTAAAGGTCTGAACTCTGTGCTCCTGTTGGAGAGTGGGGATGCCTGCCCCAGGGCTATCCAGTTCTAAGGAAATGTGCCCCAAGGATAGCTCCTGCTAAAGGGGAAAGGTTGGACCATTTTAAGAAGAAAAGCACTTGGCCCAGTCTTTTTACTCTACAATAGGTTGACATAAGATGTTTTACCTAAAAATATTCTTTGAAACCTTTAAAGATTCTCTAGAGTTCACAGGCTAATGGAAGAGATAATTACTAACTAGTTACAGCGTGTTCCCAGTAAAAATTCCAGTGCGTGTTTCCAAAGAGGTATGGGAATTCAGAGAAAGGACTTTTCAGAGGCACAGCTGGTGGGCTTGTCTTGAGCAGAATTTGATAGATATGGTTGCATCATTCAGTACCAGCAAAAAGACACTGGGGCGCCTTTTTTTTTTTTTTTTTTTTTTTTT